TCCTGTGGGGGGGCGAGCTCACGTGTCTCGCGACGTCGTCTTCGACGAAAGCACCTTCTGGCAGTGGAATGACGTGATCGAGACAGACCGTAATCCAAATCAATTCACGGTGGAGTACCTCGTCACCGAGCCTGAAGAAGGAGGAGCCCAGCATCAGGAGACGTCACCGCCGCCAGCAGGTGCACCACCTGAACCAGTGGAATTCGCAACACCACGGACTGCGGATTCGACGCTGGATGCCGATCACGATACTGATCTGGAGGCTAGGTACCGGAGGATGGATGACCTAGTGGGAGGAGGTGAACCACCTGGACTAGCAGCGCGCGAGCTCGAGGAAGTGGCCGAACTACATGCCGTCAGTGCAGATGAACCAAACACCTTCGCCGAAGCAGAAAAGAACCCGTGCTGGCGGAAGGCAATGCAGGAGGAGATGACATCCATCACTGAGAACCAGACGTGGAGTCTGGAGGATATGCCACCGGGACACCGAGCCATAGGGCTCAAATGGGTCTTCAAACTGAAGCGCAACGAAAAAGGAGAAGTTGTGAAGCACAAGGCTCGTCTGGTGGCGAAGGGCTACGTCCAGAAGCAAGGAGTGGATTTCGAAGAGGTATTTGCGCCAGTAGCAAGGTTAGAATCCGTTCGTTTCCTGCTGGCAATTGCAGCACATCACTCTTGGGAGGTTCACCATATGGACGTAAAGTCTGCTTTCCTTAACGGAGAGTTGAAGGAGACCGTCTATGTTCGACAACCACCTGGCTTCCTGGATAACGACAACCCTAATAAGGTACTGCGCCTGCACAAAGCACTCTACGGGCTTCGACAAGCCCCACGAGCCTGGAACGCGAAGCTCGACAGTACCCTACTGTCACTGAATTTCAAACGTTGTGCCTCTGAGCATGGCATGTACACGTACGGCCACGGCAAAAAGCGACTGATCGTGGGAGTGTACGTCGACGACCTCATAATCACTGGAGGCGACGTGGGAGTCCTCGGAAGGTTCAAGAAGGAGATGTCGAAAAACTTCGAGATGAGCGATCTCGGTGTGCTCAGCTACTACCTCGGCATCGAAGTGCAACAGAACTCTTCTGGCATCTCCATCTGCCAAAGTGCATACGCGAGGAAGCTGCTGGACACAACTGGGCTTGTGGACAGTAATCCTACCAGGACGCCAATGGAGGCCCGACTTCAACTAAGGAAGGCCGGCACTACGACGACAGTCGACTCCACCAATTACCGCAGCATTGTCGGGAGTCTGCGCTATCTGGTAAACTTTCGTCCTGATCTTGCTTATTCTGTTGGATATGTGAGCAGGTTTATGGAAGCACCTAGGGAGGAGCATCTAGTGGCTGTCAAGCGCATCCTGCGCTATGTAGCCGGAACCAGAGGCTGGGGCGTAAGATACTGCGCTGGGAGCGAAAAGGAGAAACTCAAACTGGTCGACTACAGCGATAGTGACATGGCCGGTGACGTTGATGATCGTAAGAGCACCAGCGGAATGATCTACTTTCTCTCAGGCGGCGCGATCTGCTGGCAATCAACAAAACAGAAGGTAGTTGCTTTGTCTTCCTGCGAAGCAGAATACATCGCCGCTTCGATGGCAGCAACTCAAGGGATCTGGCTTGCACGACTAATGGAAGAACTCATCGGGAGAGAAAGCGATCCACCAATGCTATACGTAGACAACAAAGCTACGATCTCCCTGATCAAAAATCCAATTTTGCACGACCGGAGCAAGCACATAGAAACCAGATTCCACTACATTCGAGAATGTGCAGATCGAGGGCTCATCAAAATTGATTTCATCCGAACAGAGGAACAACTTGGAGACATTTTCACCAAGTCCCTGGCGCGGGTGAAATTTGAAGAACTACGCTCAAAGATCGGAGTTCAAATAATAAGGTACAGCTTTTAGGAGGAGATTGTTAAATAAAAGTTCTGCCTTATTTAGTTAGGTTTGTAAAAACATATGAGTTCACGCGAATGGAGGAGCGTGATTCTAGGGGCCATTGTTTTGGCAGAGTGGCGGAGTCTTCGTCCACTTATTCTATTTTTGTATATTTGGTTTTTCTATTTTTGTAATTAGATTTATTATTTAAACCATTCAACGGATGTAAAATAAATATATCGAGTCTTCAGCATTACCAGCGAATCTCTCTCTCTCTCCTTTTACTTCCGCTAATTTTTCCTTCGAAGAAACCTTCGGCCAATTTTTTCGTCGACATCCGATTTGCCAGAGTCAACATCCGAGCCGGGAAATCGCCTCTGTTTTGAACGACGGCAACGGCGGATTAAACATACCGGATTCTTGTTGCGTTCCAGCCTTGAGGACTACGAGGGAAACGGTGACGATTACGTGATCGGCGGATATGTCGGACCCGTCGGAAAAATGGATTCTCACCGGCGTTGGAACATTCCGGGCGTCTGGTTCGGGATGCCATTCGATTTTGGTGACATTTTTGTTCAATTGGACTAAACCAGGGGGAAGAATAGAGGCGATTGATTGGATTACGGTCGAATAGCCTTTGGGGATGGTGATTTCATCGCCGGGGAACACTTGGTACTCACTTTCCGCAACGAGATCCACCGTCGAGAGCTCTCCGGCGGAGGTGTAAGTTCTTTGGATGTTTTCATACATGGCGAAAATAGCTTCCTCGAGGGATTTTTGGTTCCATCCTTTACACTCGTTGAACTCGATTTCGCCATTTTTAGAAATCAAGTACGAATCAAGGCCTCGCCGGAGATAAGCTCCGATGCTGAGCTTGTCGGACTTTGCTTGCCGGAGAAAGTCGGAGTCGCCGGCGATTTTTCCCTGAGAGAAATCAATGAGGTTCGTGAAGAGAGAGGAAACGGGGTCGATGATGGCCGGCGAGATCTCGACGCCACCTTCTGCGACGGTAGTAGAGTGGGCGGACCAGGCGTTCATGAACTCCCATGGCTGGTCAGAATGAAGGGCGTTGATTTGATCGGCGATTTCATGAATTGGGCTGCCGCGGATACCGTGGATCCACGTGGCACCCATTTCTATTTTCTGGCCCATGAACTCCACGACGGAGATATCGAACAAATCCGCCGAACCGGGCGCCGTGTAGAGCCTATTCGCCGCCGTGAGTCCCGCCATTCCGGCGCCAATAATCACAATTTTCGCCTTCCTCTCCACCATGTTCTCAAGCTGCAATGAAGGAGAAAAAGAGATGTGGGTGAGAAAAACGAGTCACCGACTCCATGAAGGTATTTGTAATACCATTCTTATGTTTTATTATTTAAAAAATAAAAGGTCAAGAATGGTGCTTTTATTATAATCTTTATTAACCCAATGATGTTTCTAGGCGAAGCACGTTAATACCTAACATAAATTTGGACACAAGCACATTAATACCTCCCACTAGTTTGGAGCTAAGCATATTAAATTAAGATTTTTCATTAGGAAGGTCTCAAACTCTACATTTTAATTTTAAATTAACACATCAATTCGTTGGATATAAACTAAATTAAAATCTAGGTAATTAATATATATGTGAGTAAAATAAAAATAAATAAATTAAGGACACTTAAATTTAGAATATTACTAATCACACTTCAACACTCATCACAATTTATGTACTACACTCATTAATTTACTTTATGCACAGTCACGAACACATCCATTCTACCATCAAATTCAACCATATTGATTGAATTGATGACATGTCATTCCGTTCCAATTTATTGCATCATAATCGTAAGAAAAATCTTGAAAAAAAAAATTCAAAACTATGTCCTAATATATTTTTAAATATGCTTTTAGGTTCATTTTTTAGAATATCTTAAATAAGATATATATATATATATATATATACTAAAATAAAAAGTGTTAAAATTTCAATTTTGGGTTCATAAAATCTTAAAACATTTAATTTATTTTAAAAAAATCATTTTATATAATTATTATTTTTTTTTAGAATAAAGAAAAAATGGGAAGTTTATATATTTTATTTTTACAGTTTTCGATTTAGGGTTTTAAAATTTTCAGTATATAAAATCGGTTGGAGCTCTAGTAAGCGGCTGACTCAACCTGCGCACTCTCTTCGACTTGTTGCAGCGCAGGTCCGCTTCTTCTTCCACCTTTCACATCTTCTTTTTTCTTTCAATTTCATCATCTTCAATCTGGTTTTTTCCATTTTTGTGTATCTTATATCAACTGCATCCTTACTTTTGTTGCTGATTTCCGTTACTTTTGTAGATGGCGAACGTTCCGGGGCAGTTGGTGTGGGAAATCGTTAAGAAAAACAGCTCTTTCCTCGTTAAAGAGTTTGGAAGAGGCAATGCAGGTGTTCAATTCAGCAAAGAGCCAAACAACCTCTACAATCTCAACTCCTACAAGCATTCCGGTAAGAAAAACATCTTTTACTTGTTAAGTATAATCGTTTTGAACTTGAGGAAAATATGAGGAATCAGCTGCCATTTTTGTTCTGCACATTTCCTTCCGGAATGGTTATTGAATCTTGTTTTAGTTCTTAGAAAGTGTTGGGAGGATTTATCTTATTTTATTTGCGTTGTGGAATGTTTTTGGGGACTCTTTCAGGCTTAGCGAACCGTAAGACAGTGACCATTCAGGCAGGGGGCAAGGATTTGTCAATATTGATAGCGACAACAAAGACGAAGAAGCAGAATAAACCCGCGAGTTTGCTCCACAAGTCAATTACGAGGAAGGAATTTCCTCGCATGGTTAAGACTGTGACTAATCAGGTAACTCTCCACTTCATTTTTTAATTGATGCCCACTCAGATGTAATTCAATATTGGATGTTTGCTGATTCTGCCTGCATTTTTCATTGGTCGTGCTTGGTTAATCAGGGAATTATTATGCTATTAAGAAGCTGCCAATAATGATTTTCAATTTTGTAGTTTTTTAGAGATCGTAATTGAACTGAATTGCACTGTTACAGTGACAAGAAGCTAACATGTTAGAAGGGTCACTTTTGTAGTTGTATCTTTGTTATGCCTGTCTTCTAAGCTCAATTTTCCATCGTTAACCTGTTAACACCTAAGGAGGTCCTTTTTGTAGTGGCATCTTCAATGAAATCTGTTTGTTACACTTGGCTTCTGAGCATCAATTTAAATTTAGTAGATATGGTGTTGGATGGTAGAACTTGTTGAAAAGATGAAAGAACTTGTTGAAAAGATGAAAGAACTTGTTGGATGGTATGCGTCAGATTAGATTTTGCTAAATCAAATCTGTTTTTTCTGAATAATAATGAATAACCAAACTCTTATTGAGGAGTGAACTTGTTGGATGGTATGCAGGTGGCTGACAATTACTACCGCCCAGACTTGAAGAACGCTGCCCTTGCAAAGCTAAGCGCAGTTCATAGGAGCCTTAAGGTTGCCAGGTCTGGTGTGAAGAAGAGGAACAGGCAGGCCATTAAGACACGCGGTAGGAAGTGAATCAATGGCTTATAAGGGTTTTTTTTCTTCCACTACTACCAGCTTTTTCACTCAATTTTCCAGAGCTTTTCTTTAATTTTAAATTCTTATGTACACTACTTGAAATTTTCAGTGTAGCTTTGAAAGGATTAGTTTAAGTATTAAACATTGAATTGATATCAAGACTAAAAAATTTGTACCCTCCAGAGCTCCTTGAAGGTTTATGATGATCGAATTCTTTTACTCTTTACATCATCCAACAATACCCTTTGGCTGACTCCATATCCATAATAGTAAAATCTTAGAATGACTTTTCACATACCAAATAAGCTCTTCCACTAATAATCCTGATGTTTCAATAACTAGAAAGCTCAGTGTAGTAACCCAAAACATTTAAATTCAATAGTTTATAAGACCAGGAACGGTAAGGTAAGTTAATAGGTATAAGAAAAAATCTCCAACAACTGCAATTAAATATGATCGTCTCCTTCCATTAAACAGATCAAAACTACAACCTGACCTCATCTTGAAAACAAAAACAAAGACAATTCAATCATCTTCCTCAATGACTTTAGTCCCGAGTCCCTTAAGTCCGTCAGCAGAGATTTCTGCAACGGTAACGAGGGAGTACAACTCCTCCTTGGCATCTTCATCATCGTTCCTCTTCCGAGCAATGCGAACTCTGATTCTTCTAGGCACACTCCTGATTCCCCTGCTCCAGATATGCTTGTTCAACTTCACATCCACTCTCACGTCCTTTGTTCCCATAGCCTTCTCAGCAAATCTCCTGATCTCCTTGATGGCCTTTGGGGCCTTCTTCTTAAAGGTGCTGTTCATTCACAAGCAGCAAGCAAGGGCTGATAAGTAACAAACAAATTAAATGGAAATTCATGTTAGTTCTCTAACATGAACAAACAATAATGGTATCAAAACCAATCCCAACTATGCTCTCTGTCTCTAAATATAGCAATGAGGCAGTCAGAGAAATGCACATCATGGGAACGAATTCAAGAAGAAACTAATAAGACAATGGTTGTAACATATAAGTTATCCTTTCCTCAGCCAGTACCTAAATCTCAAACCTCACATTGCAATCGATAGTCGGAAATAAACACTGAACTAATACCAATCCAATAAAATCTAGATGAATTCTTAGAACTTAGAAGGGCAGCTATAATGAACGTACCAGCCATGAAGGCGCTTGTGAAGGTTAATGGTGTACTCTCTGGTAACAACCTCCTCCTTTCTGCCTTTGGTCTTCTCCACCATTTTAAATCACAACTAAAACACCTGTACACGATAAACTTGTAATCAGAACTCCACCAAAAATGAAATGAAAAGGATAACTGTTGCCGATTTCAAACGTCCAAAGTTGAAGACAAGCGGAAACAAAGGATTAAGCAACCGAGGAGACATCTTCAGGGTTTAGAGTAAGACCTGGCGATCGGCGCGAAAAGTGGACTCCAACAAAAGAGATGATCTTCGAGAGCACAAAAAAACCCTAATCTGAAATTTATATAGAGGTTTGGTCCATGGATTTTGTGAATAAGCCGTATCAAAATTTACCCACAATCGTTTCGTCGAGTTTGGGCCCCAAAATAGGCTAGGTTTTATAAGGTATTATTGGGCTACGCTTTCAAAACATGGGCTTTCTGGGTCGATAAGATATAATTGGTCTGGTCTTTTAAAACACGGGCTTTCCTCAAGTTTGGGCCTCAAAGTGGATCGATAAGGGCCAGGCTTTAAACAACATGGGCTTTCGTCCATTTTGGGCCTAAAAACGGATCAATAAGGTAAATTGGGCTGGGCTTTTACAACACGGGCTATTTCGGCATCAAAATGGCTCGCTAAGGTATAATTCGGCTGGGCTTTTAAAAATGGGCTTTCGTCAAGTTTGGGCCTCAATATGGATCGATAAGGTATAATTGGGCTGGGCCTTTAAAACATGGGCTTTCGTCCAGTTTGGGCCTCAATATGGATCGATAAGGTTTAATTGGGCCGGGCTCTTAAAACATGGCCTTTCGTCCAGTTTGGGCCTCAAAACGGATCGCTATACAATTGGGCTGGGCCTTTAAAAACATGGCCTTTCTTCCAGTTTGGGCCTCAATATGGATTGATAAGGTTTAATTGGGCCGGGCTTTCGTCCAGTTTGGGCCTCAAAATGGATCGCTATATAATTGGGCTGGTCCTATAAAACATGGGCTTTCGTCCAGTTTGGGCCTCAGAAAGGATGGTTAAGGTTTAATTGGGCCGGGGTTTTCAAACATGGGCTTTCGTCCAGTTTGGGCCTCAAAACGATCGCTATATAGTTGGGCTGGGCCTTTAAAACATGGGCTTTCGTCCAGTTTGGGCCTAGATATGGATCGATAACGTATAATTGGGCCGGGCTTTTTTAAAACATGGGCTTTCGTCCTGTTTGGGTCTCTAAAGATCGTTAAGGTATAATTGGGCTGGGCCTATAAAATATGGCCTGTCGTCCAGTTTCGGCCTCTAATGGATCGTTATGGTATAATTCGGCTGGGCTTTTCAAACATGGGCTTTCGTCCAGTTTGGGCCTCAAAACGGATCGTTATAAAATTGGGCTGGGCCTTAAAAACATGGGCTCTCGTCCAGTTTGGGCCTCGATATGGATCGATAAGGTCTAATTGGGCAGGGCTTTTTAAAACATGGGCTTTCATTCAGTTTGGGCCTCAGAAAGGATTGCTAATGTTTAATTGGGCCGGGCTTTTTCAAACATGGGCTTTCGTCCAGTTTGGGCCTCAAAACGATCGCTATATAATTGGGCCGGGCCTTTAAAACATGGGCTTTCGTCCAGTTTGGGCCTCAATACGGATCGATAAGGTTTAATTGGGCCGGGCTTTTCAAACATGGGCTTTCGTCCAGTTTGGGCCTCAAAAACGGATCGCTATACAATTGGGCTGGGCCTTCAAAACATGGCCTTTCGTCCAGTTTTGGGCCTCAATAATGGATCGATAATGTTTAATTGGGCCGGGCATTTAAAAGATGGGCTTTCGTCCAGTTTGGGCCTCAAAACGGATCGCTATACAATTGGGCTGTGCCTTAAAAAACATGGCCTTTCTTCCAGTTTGGGCCTCAATATGGATCGATAAGGTTTAATTGGGCCGGGCTTTCGTCCAGTTTGGGCCTCAATATGGATCGCTATATAATTGGGCTGGGCCTTTAAAACATGGGCTTTCGTCCAGTTTGGGCCTCAGAAAGGATGGTGAAGGTTTAATTGGGCCGGGGTTTTCAAACATGGGCTTTCGTCCAGTTTGGGCCTTAAAACGATCGCTATATAGTTGGGCTGGGCCTTTAAAACATGGGCTTTCGTCCAGTTCGGGCCTAGATATGGATCGATAAGGTATAATTGGGCCGGGCTTTTTTAAAACATGGGCTTTCGTCATGTTTGGGTCTCTAAAGATCGTTAAGGTATAATTGGGCTGGGCCTTTAAAACATGGGCTGTCGTCCAGTTTGGGCCTCTAAAGGATCGGTATGGTATAATTCGGCTGGGCTTTTCAAACATGGGCTTTCGTCCAGTTTGGGCCTCAAAACTGATCGTTATACAATTGGGCTGGGCCTTAAAAACATGGGCTCTCGTCCAGTTTGGGCCTCGATATGGATCGATAAGGTCTAATTGGGCCGGGCTTTTTTAAAATATGGGCTTTCATTCAGTTTGGGCCTCAGAAAGGATTGCTAATGTTTAATTGGGCCGGGCTTTTTCAAACATGGGCTTTCGTCCAGTTTGGGCCTCAAAACGATCGCTATATAATTGGGCTGGGCCTTTAAAACATGGGCTTTCGTCCAGTTTGGGCCTAGATATGGATCGATAAGGTATAATTGGGCCGGGCTTTTTAAAACATGGGCTTTCGTCTTGTTTGGGTCTCTAAAGATCGTTAAGGTATAATTGGGCTGGGCCTTTAAAACATGGGCTTTCGTCCAGTTTGGGCCTCAATATGGATCGGTAATGTATAATTGGGCTCGGCTGTTTAAAACATGGGCTTTCGTCGAGTTTTGGCCTCACAATGTATCGATATGGTATAAGTGGGCTGGGCTTTTAAAACACGGTCTAGTCTGGTCCTCAAAATGGATCGAAAAGGCATAAGTGGGCTGTGCTTTTCAAACATAGTCTTTTGTACAATTTGGGCCTCAAAATGGAAGCATGCCCTTGAAAACCTGGGCCAACAAAATAAATGGCTAATTTCTAATAGTTCAATAAGAAAATAACTTATATTCGACATAATAACACAAGCCATTATCAAGCTAGCCATAGTCGACATCCTACAGCTGCTTGGCCATAGTTGACACCATTTTTACGGCAAAATGTCTATGCATTTAGATCCTAGTTCAAGAAATCCAAAAGAGAATATATCCTAATACTGACTTCTTTCCTCTGGCCCTTTCCTACAGTGACAAATACACTAATTCATATGGTACAAGGAATTGTGATACATTAGTCAAGATTCAAGGTCGAAGAACTCAGAAAGTTATGGCAAACTTTCCTCGATTCTGGAAAAAAACCCTGGTAATCTGTTCATTCCAATTAATGGGGGACGAATAATAAACAAGCCGCTGCTTCAGTGAACAGATTTTTGTGAAAAGAGAGCTCAAAAAAGGCGTGATATGTTCGGGAATTAATCTGCAGATACCTTTTGTGCAATCAGCTTGATTTCTTTCACTCTATCGTCTACTAACTTTTTGAGTTGTTCTTCTTGATTAGCCCGGGATTCATCCGCCTCAATGCTAGTCGCATTGCTAGTTGATCTGAACATTACAAATGACATCTCTTGATCGTAATCAGTAGGAACATCAATCACTTGTTTCCCTTCGGCGTCTGAGCTTTCACCAATCAATTCATCTCGCATTCTACTTGAAACTGCAAGAATAAAATCTTCCATGTGCTTGTCGGGTTCGAGACCTAAAAAGACTAGTATCTCCCAACAGTGTAAGAACTGTTCCTTCGTAATTTTCAAACTTTTTCTAACATCTACAATAGCTGCAGTTGGGGGTAAAAGCGGAGGGAAGGAAACCTTCTTTGATAGCTTCCCTAGTTTAAATTGCGAAACGGCAGATTCTACAGCTTCTTGAATAGGGCCAAATCCCCGCAGACGTTTAACATCAATGCAAGTTCGCATCTGTAGTAGCTGACTTAATGGCTCTTCAATGGTGAAGTCATAAACATTTTCTGATATTGCAACATTGTTCAGCACCTCTAAAAGGAAACACCCAAAGCCCTTACGCTGGTAAGGAGGGAGAATAAGTATCTGAATAAAATGCCAGACATCAGTAAATGGTTATGCGAGGAAAATGAAAAAAAGGCATAAAACACCGCAATTCATTAACTAGACTCGACCCCAAGTAGCAGATAAAAATACTAAACCTGGCTCAGACGCAAGCGAGAACTGTCAGGATAATGGTAGAAGCGATAAAGGGCAGCAAATCCTAGCAATGTAGGATGTGTTTGCCCCTTTTGATCATTGTTCTTCTGAATAAGGACATACAACTCCCATCTTGGATCAGAAACATCAATAGGGCTGCTACCTAATTATATTTAAAACAAAAAAAATGACATTTTAGGTTCTAAACTTGATCAGTCTCTGGAACATAAAAGAAATTTCCGATGATAAAATTAAATGAGACATCGAATAAGACAAGAAATACCATCAATAAGAAGAAGAGCAAGAGGAACCAAGCGACTATAGAGGTTTCTTCCAGCCATATTGTCCATAGCCAATCGAAAGACCTGGATCAGAAGGTAATCAGACAAACCAAGTCAATAAACTTTGAATTACATCACCTGATAAAACAGCAGAAGTTTATTTTCATTTCCTTGACCAACTTAATCAATAAACTAGCTAGACGTGGGGAAATCAAGATAGAGATACAATAAATTCCTCTTAAGAACCATGTTCCATAGCCTGGATGATAAAAACCACTATCTTACATGGTAATGGGGAGAAAGAACACTAGATTACAGCATTCTAGGACGGTCTTTAGGATTCCCTACACCGAAGTAATATAAAACCAACAGTAAGGATGAACAGGATAGGACACTAGCTGTTGCTACAACAATATAAGATGACATAACAGCACAAGAACGTTGAGAGTGTTTTTTTATCTCAAAGCCAGATTAAGATTACCATACTGTCAAAGAGCTAGATAGAAAAAGCGTACTAAAAAGGCACTTTCCATGGTAACATCCAAGAAACAAGTTTTCACTATAACAGAGTAACATAGAACTCGAACAAGGAAAGAACCTCCAAATCAGAATTATCTGCTTGTAAATGGAAGTTAGAACTGAAAAATTGCCCGTTGGAGGAATCTTTAGGATACAGTACTTCTCCATCTGCAACCAGGGATCTGCAATATTTATTTAAAATGGGAAAAACACATCATCTGATAAGATATGAGAACCAATGACAAAGAGAGGGCAACAGAGTACATAGTTAAGGTTTATATACAAAAAAGAAAAATCAATGATAAAGATGTAACGGACATTGATAATTACCCAATAAAATTGACATCCTTCGAAAAAGTTTGAAGGAATTCATCTTTGTTGTCCACAAGAGTCTCGGCAAATATATTCTGTTAAAAAAGCGAGTCTAACTATCAAAATAATCTCTATGTACCAATAAATAACTGGATCGTGAATCCTGTACTTCAAAATGTTCACCTGAAGAGCAGACTTCAGATCTGTAATACCCTTACCGCCCTATAACAAGAAAGAAAAATATTTACTGCCATGTCCAAAAACAGAAGAACAGGGAAAACTAATGCATTCAAGAGGGGAAAAGAAAAGGAAAAAAAACGAAAAGCACTTACATCAGACGTACTCTCGAAAACAATATCCGCATAGGCCTGAAATGAGACGATGCTGAACCATACAGTAATCTGCAAAAAACATGGAACATAAGAATATAGCCAGCACCAACCTCGATCCATTTTGGATAAATATATCATTCCACAAACAATACAAGCCAAAAACTTTATTCTAAACAGATCCAAGCGTTTACCTCCAAACCTTGGTAACCATAAATCTTTCCCTCTTCGTCATCAAAGAAGTTGCTCAAGTCAACTGGGTCAATACAAAGACTATCTGTACTTCCCACTTCCTCTTTGGTGCAAACTACAACAACACACAAACATAAAAATGATGAATAAAATGCTCAAACTAATCGTTTGCTCGCAACTCCAAACACCAGATTTCCAACCAACCCAACCCATAACACAGCATAAGACTATGCAACAGGCAACGCTACTAATTTATCGTGAGAAGGGCCTGTACCTATGGAAATGCACAAAATTCGTCGCAAACCAGAGAGTGCAGTAATAATTTTCAATTTAGAAATGTCCTATTAAAAAACACAATTAAAAAATGAGCCCTGTACACGTCGTCTGAAAGATCAATTCAACTGAACCACGTGGACTCTAAAACATGCACGGAGTTAAAAAGTATCGACGAAAATGAAAAATCTATCCCAAGCGAAGCACAGGCAAATTCAAACAAAATCGCTTTGAAATCGAACAGTTAAGAAAGCGAAATAGCCATACCAAGGTAGATTTTGATGCAATCTTTTGCTGCAACACCAGTATCTGCGCGACACCGAGAGATACAAAGAGAAAACGGAACAGGTTCCAGTGAGCTATCAAGGGAGGGAGAAGCTGTAAATTAACGAAATGAAGAAGCGAAATTGAGCTGAAGGAGTGTGAGAAAAAAAGAGGAGAGAAATTACCGATGGCGGAGAAGACGACGCGACGCTTTTTCTTAGTTTTGGAGCATGGATCAGCAGAGGCTTGTTGCTTCTGTCCCATCTTGGATTAGGGTTTACTGAGCGGGAAAAGTGAAGTCGAGGCGCGGGAAATTCGTCCAGACAAACCGAACGGAGTGAGCTATATATATATATATAGTGGACAGCCTGAGATGTCTTCGTAGCGTGCATTTCACGTGCTGTCGAATGCCGGGGCTATACGCCGATTTGGGCCGGCCCATCGGGTTCACATGTCTCATCCCGCGTCATTTCGAAAACTTTTCTTTTTTTATTTAATTTCTTTTTTATTTTTTCTTCAAGAAAAACAAAAACTTATCCCGCGATTGTAAAATCAAATAAAAATTGTCAAAAGACAGAGGAAAACCCTAACTGCTCTGCTCCCCGCTTCTTTTTCTTCTTCTCGCCGTCGCCGTCTCCTCATCCGTTTAACCAGTGCCGCCGCCCCGCCGTCGTCTTTCTCCTGTTCTTGCCACCGCAGACTTCTTCCTCTAAGGAGTTTTGCTCTGGTTTTCTACTCTGTTGTTGCAGGTATTCCCCCAATCTTCGTCTATGTCTTTCTTCTCACTTGAAAACGCAAATTAGAACTTATTGAATGGAGGGTTTTTTTTTTTAAAGAACAGCGGGATAGCAACAAATTTGTGTTTGTCTGTTCTGATTCGGACATGATCAGTCATATCTCTTTTCATTCCTAAGTCGACTATGCTCTATAATTGTGTTCATTCAATGCTGCTGCTATTTCTTTAACAGAGGCAGGCATTTCCTCATGCCATGAGAGTTTCTTCAGGAGCCAGATGCTACAAATCATTTCACTCTTCAAACTTCCACCGGACGTGTCCAAAACTTCCAATAAACTCTAATTGGGTTAGTTGTACAGTTTCTTCATCTGGGTCATGTCAGAGCTTTCATGTTAATTTCTCTCTGGCCAACCTTATGAGCCTTTCAATTCGTAGTCAACATTGCTCTCCAGAAATTAGGAAATTAGTAAGCCGCAAATTGAGCTTACCTGCTTTGACCATTGAATCTTCTCTGAAATCTCGAACTTATTCGAGCTCCCATTCAATTAAAGACGAAGGAGTGAAATCTAGGGATAAGCTTCCTTGGTTAGCAGCAACAAACAGTTTTGAGAAGGCGAGATGGTCGGATAAATCAACAACAAAGAAGAGAGGGGATCGATCGTCGTGGAAGGAATCAAATTCTGGGTCAGAAAAGAAGACATTTGGGAAAAGGGGTAATAGGGCATCTGGGGATGAACCAGAAAAGAGATATGGCAAAGCACCTGTTGGAAGCACTTACCGTTCTTCTTGGGAGGTCTCTGCAGAGAAGTTTGCTACACAACGCATGGAGTATGCAGAGGAAAGAAGAGAAAGTAGGAGGGGAAGAGTTGATAATGAGGAGCAGCGAAACCGTGATGTGGAAGTAGAAGATGAAGAAACGGAGGCCATTGCTGATCCGAGATGGGATAAGATCAAAACTAAATTTGAGAGACCTGAGTTTCAGAGATGGAATAAACAGGAAAGCTGGAGTAGAAAAACATGGAAGGAAGCTTCTGAATCCACTCTGCCTAAAATGGTTGGTGAAGGTGTTTATGGGGTTGGACCAGTGTTGGCTGCTTTGTCAGCTGGAAGAAGAGAGTTCTATGCATTGTATATGCAAGAAGGACTCGACTTGAACAACAATAACAAGAAGAAGAAAGACAAGAAAGGGTTTGAGAAAGTTCTTAGGTTGGCTGAAAGGAATGCGTTAACCGTAAAGGAAATATCGAAGCATGATTTGAATATGCTTTCGGATAACCGTCCACATCAAGGTCTTGTGCTAGACGCCTCTCCCTTGGAAATGGTAAAAATAATGGAGTTGGATCCTGTCTCACTTGAAGAAGACAAAGGCTTGCTATGGTTAGCGTTGGACGAAGTTACAGACCCTCAAAACTTGGGGGCGATAATAAGATCGGCTTATTTCTTTGGTGCGTCGGGGGTTGTGTTATGTGCAAAGAATTCAGCTCCATTAAGTGGTGTTGTTAGTAAAGCTAGTGCTGGTTCGCTCGAGTTGATGGAGCTTAGGTATTGTAAGAACATGATGCAATTCTTAACATCCTCGGCTGAGAACGGTTGGCGAGTCCTTGGAGCTTCGGTTTCTTCTAAATCCATTGATTTGGAAGAGGTACCACCGGGGGCACCAACAATCCTAGTGTTGGGCAGTGAAGGCACTGGTTTGAGGCCCTTGGTGGAGAGATCTTGTTCACAGCTTGTTAAAATACCTGGGAATATTCCAGTTGATATAGCAACGGATAAAGAAAATGACAACGAAACAACACAACCAACAAAGGAAAGCTCGGTTGACGAGTTTCGATCCTTCATGGCTGTGGAGAGCTTAAACGTCAGCGTTGCAGCAGGCGTGCTTGTTCACCACCTAATTGGAAGCAATTACAAGAATGAATCGTATGAAACCTCCTCTATTTAACACATTCATTATTATTAGAGTAGATCCATTCACTTTTAGTTCCCAGTTGGTGTTGCAGTCGAATGATGTGGGTTTTATGATTTCTTATAATTATCTGACCTCGTGGTTGAAATATGTCTCAAATAGTAGAACTTGATTTTTATCTCAAATAGTATATATGGACTGGCCTAGTTTCAGCACTCAAGTAAATTCCAAGGATGCCAGTGTAGGGGTTGGGTAGAAAAAGAACAATTCATAAACGGCAGGTTGACAACTAAGGCAACTAAACTCATCAATACCTAAAGTCAAAACTTATATATAGTAAACAAACATGCCATTTTTATTATAAGTCAAAGAAATTATAATTACTCAAATATTACCTAGATTTCCCAATAATTTAAAATTGAAGATTCGTATAAGATTTTTAGATGATTTTAAGATGAAGATCCCAGTAATTTTGCACCTTTATATATACATTGTCTTGCCGCAGGGAAGGGTAATTTGTGTAAAATTTCAATCAAACGCTTAGAAGATTCGGATGCAATCTGCCAGAAGATGATACTCGTATGCACCACCTGCAATGTCCAATTAAAATTCAGCTCTCTGCTCCATAAAAGGTAATCTTTTAAGATAAAACAACGTTCAACTACAAATTTAGAGTACTTGGACTTGAACAGTGTGATTATAGAAAGTTAATCGGAGCTCATTCAGCTTAAGATTGGGCTACGGAACAAACCTGGTTAGAGGGCCATCTCAGCTTGCAGAGCTGCCAGCTCGTCTTCTTCCGCAGTTCTCTTCTGTGGAACAGGGCGAGCAGGAACTCGGCCTGACGGGACTGAGACAGGTCCAGCAGGAGCCGTTGAGGCTGGCTGGAGAAGTTGTTCTTCCAACTCAGCACTTTCAAGCTCTTCCAGTTCTGCCTCCAATTCATCCTGATTACACCACCATTGTTAATAGATGAATTGTGCGACATAAGCAAATACCAGGAAAGGCCAAGAAACAAGCCAAAGATGAAGTACCTCATCGAAATCAGCTGCAGCACCAATTGGAGTTGACAGCGCCTCCTGTATCTGTTTCATATTCTCAGTCTGCTCATTGATCTCATCCATCGTCTTGTCCACATCATCAATGTTTCTGGAGAAGAAAGTTTCAAATAATCAGCCTACATTTTTAAAATAAGTACGGTTCCAAATTTCACAACCTCGGTTAAAGAAATAAAACATGAAACAAACTTTCACAAATTATTTCATTTTTCAGTTGCCATTGCAAGTAATGCTTAATGGTAATGGCTAACTTTCTCAAGATTGGTTAGCTTAACATCAATAACTAGATGAACGAAGTGCATAAATAAGTTGAGCAATATTTTGTACAGTTTTTTTTTTTTTTTTTTTTCATTTTCCGGCTTAGGCAATAGTAATGTTAATAGTTGTGCTAAAAGATCGATTGTAAAGACAAAAAGAATGTTAGGCAGAAAGAAAGCAAATCAAATAAATATTAGGCATACGTTGCTTTCTGCATGGCCTTCATTGCAGATGCTCCTGTTCTCAAAGCATCGACAGTCTCCGTTGTAGCTTTTGCGCCTTCTAACATAATCATCTGCAAAAGTTTAAAAAATTGTTAATAAAGTAGAAGGTTGATTTCAATACAGTTAACTGAAAGTACAAGAAATAAATGTCTCATCAATCAGTAAATAACGACTCCAGCTCACCTGATCATGGATACGCAATTGGAAATTTCCAAGTTGCTCTACTTGCTGTTCATAAAGCCTTTTCCTCTTCAAACATTGTATGGCCGCTGCAACCAATTCTAATGACTATGAATCGAATCTTTCAATTTAATATCATTAATTTTTTCTTTCAGATCTAACTAATTGATTAAACTAATTAAATTGTCAGGAAGGAAACCTATAAACAACAATTCTTGTAAAGAACAAATGTTCGAGTTATAAACAGAACTATTTCATATCCTAGACATTTAATCCTAATATTTGATATTCATATCCAATAAACAAAACGATCCAAATGGGTTGGCAAATAAGAACACGAGGTAATATAGAGATAGAAGGATAGGGAACAGCAAAAATTACAATGATTTTAAAAATATTAAATAAATCAACAAGAATGAAAAGGAACAAACTATAGAGCCCAAAAAAGCAGACAGAATAAACTCCAAAAATGCAGCTCAGACTAAAATAGACATGAAATATAAAATTAAAACCCATTTGAAAGTGATATCCAAAACACTGATAAAGATAAGAACAAGGAAAATCACAAAACTCCAAAAATGAAAGAAAGCTCAAACGAAGATTTGAAATAAACAAAGCTACAAATGTATGGCCATCATAAACTACAACAAAAAATATTGGGATACATTGCAACCATCAGTCACAAAGACTGGCAACAAAACACAAGAAAAATCATCCTCCAAAAAATGCACGAGGCTACTTCATCAATTGAGGATGTAGAGTAGAATAATTCATCAAGCACAAGATTTTCCTAATAAGGAAATGAACAAAAAAAAGTAGATGGAGGATTCAGTAATAAATTCTGCGGAGTATCACATTGCAATATACAGACATAAGCACAACTTGCATTTGACCATAGAATGGCAGTACCATCAAATTAACACTCCAGAGCGGAGAAAACGGGGGTTAATTAAATCTTATTCACACTTCACATGTGAACAAATACTCAAAAAAGGAATAAAAATTAATACCAAGAAGCATTTGACCATAGAAGAGATCACCCAATTACATAACACACCTCGTTTATTCTTCACTCTTGTGAATTCTTTAGCTTTTTCAACCTCTGCAGCAGCCTTCTTAATAAGAACGTTCTCTTTCTTCTCCAGCATTTCAAGTGTCTAAACAGATAATCCCAGACGATGAAAAGGAAGCAATTAAATCAAACAACGCCGGACAATGAAGTGCACAAAAATATCGGTATCAATTAAGAAAAGCTTAGTCGGACTACAAAAATCTACGCAACCACAATTTTAGACGCAATTCCAAAGAACGGCAGCATTGTAGTACACAGGTTTCCTTTCTTACATAAGCGAAATTTCACCTAAAGAACGGCAGTAACTACGACATTTCAACTGGAAAATTACGAGTTAAAAAATCCAAATAAGACGATAATTTCAACTGGAAACCAATAACTACGACATTATAAACACTAATACTCGGTCAAGGAGAACCAATTACTACGACGTCATAAACACTAGTACTCTATCAATGAGAACAAGTTAATACGACGTCATAAACACAAATACTCCGTCAAGTAGAACCAATTACTACCCCGTCATATACACTAATTTTTGGAAAAGACGAGGAAAAAACGGAATGATCGAGAAGCCAAGAATCCATCAAGATCGATGAAATAGGTTCAGAACAAGTGAGAAAAGGAAAAGATCATTTCCATACAAAGAATATCAAAAACAATAAAACATCGAAGTAAAACATACCTCATTCAACTTGTCTAACGTAGCCAAAGCATTGGCTTCTTGTTTAGGTTTACCAAAAAGCCTGTTTAACATTGTTTAAGCTAAGAAAAAAGAATCGCCCCTCGATCTGCAACAACGAAATCAAAGACAAAATGAATTCCTCAAGAAGAGAAATCGCCCTGCCGATCAACTTCGATACGATTCAAAAAAAAAAAATCAATGCCAACAAGAAAGGAATCGAGAAACCAGCGAGAGATTGAGACGGAAAGATGATAATCAGAGACAGATTTATACCAACCAGAATGAAATGAAAGAATTTGTGAAGAAATTTGAAGTAGAAAGGGTTTCTTCCAAGGCGCTCCAGAACAGGAAGGACGAAGATTTGGAGTTCCCTCTCTTCCCGTCGCTGTTTGTCCACCACACGCGGCAATGTATTTAATTGGTTCCCGTGTATCAAAACGACCGATTATTCACTCCGCCAATTCATTTTAAACAGGATTTATGGGCCGGGCCCAATCAGTAACTAAAATGGACTCGGCCCATTATCTTACTTGGGCTTCAGAACATTATATGGGCCAACCAGGTCAGTTACCGACAAGCCCAGTGATACGTACAAAATAACAAATTAAACTGTCCAATATACCCTACCATGATCCAAACCTATTACAAATGTACCATAGACGATATACACTAGTAGTGGACTTGAGCGGTTACAAATGATACTACGGGCAAGTTTCGAGCAATGTGCTAGCGAGTATGCTGGTCCCAAAGGTGGTAGATTATGAAATCCGACATCGATTTTAGAGGATAACGAAACATTTCTTATAAAAATATAGAAATTTCTATATAAGATACGCATTTTTTTTTATTTTGAAAAATCCTAAAATAATAATATCTAATCACTATATTTTTATGGATTTATAAATTTTTAAAAAAAAAAACCAAAAACAAAAACTATGACAATATCCTATACAGCTTGTCAAGATGTCACTTCAACTTTTGCACAGTCCACACGAGTATCATATATTATTATTTAATTGAATCTAAATTTATTTGAATAATATTCTTTTTTTGTGTGTTAGGTATGAAATCCCCGAAATAATCGCCATTTTTTAATGTAGACGAAAATAGACAACTGCTAAGATTACTTCGGGTGACCGAAACTCGATGACTGTCGACAATTTCCACTACACAACTTACCTACTCCTTTGTCCTTCTTCTTTCCTCTTATTTTATTTTATTTTCCTTTTCTCTCATTTGAAATAAAAATAAAAATTGGCATAATTTTGTAATAAAATAAATATATATTTTATAATTTATAAATACTTATATATCCACTCAATCTTCTATTCAATAACAGCGTCTAACCTTATCAAAATTGTATAAAATTTAAATAAATAATTATATATGTTTAAAAAAGAAAATATGCGAAAGCGACTGAAGTGTGATTTAGAACATCGGATGATGGCCACAAATTTTTCTATATAGTAATCATTATGGCTTGCTCGGACATGATTTTGAATAATAAATAAGTCTTGTTTAACTTTACTGGAAAAGACATTTCTCTCCAAATCAAAATGAAGTAATAACCGTATAATTATATTTTTTAAAATTTTAAAATTATTATTCAAACTTTTGAAAGCGTATGATACTTTTGGTACGAAATA